CATAATAACAATTGTAATATAGCTATAAATATTTTCTTAATTAAATATATTTTATAATTAAAACAAGTATTATATACAAACACAATTAAACTATTTTAACGTTATTACATAATATTTGAAAAATAAATCAACTTATTTCGTTTCAGTTGTAACATAAGTCAATTCTCATCTTCCATCTAATTTTGTTAGAACTTATCTTAAAGAGCTTAAGCTTCGCCGTGGCAACATTGATAAAATAAATTCCAAAAACAATCATTTATAGAATAATTTGATCCTTTATGAAAAATATTTCTGTTAGAAATAAAATTTCATACAAGATAGCTACCGACACAATGTGAAAATTATAAGTGTTAACTATCTGGTAAGTGAATGAACCAATTCATAAAGAAATTAACATTTTGAAATGACTGTATCAATAAAATATTTTATATATTGAAATTATTTATTATATTCTATATTATGCAAAGTGTGGTCCTACTAACCGTACTTCCTAATGTCAATGTATGTCACTCAAAATTCATTATTTGGATAAAAAAGGAAGCTCATATTGCTTTAAGACCTATTTAAATTAAAATTAATAATATTGTAAATTATAAATTCAAGTTTATTTATACCTATTTTTTCAATATTATATTATAATAAAATTAAAAATAATTAAAATTATTTAATACTATTTTTATTAATATTAATAGGTCATCCAACATTAATTAAAATTGTAAATCAAGTGAAAACCATATTTCAATATTTAAAAAAATATATACATATTTACATCTTCGAATTTGATCACCTGAGTTTATATTATCTATGAAGATGCCCTTATATTTTTGGTTGTCATTTATTTTTTGGATTAGACTACCAAGTTTTGTGATAAAATTAAGTGTGATATGCTATGTAAAATTAAACGGTTTAGCTGAAAGTCATTAGATATTTTTGTTTTGACATTAACCTAACCAAATATTTGCCTCTACAATTTTAAAATTAGTTATTTGATATCTTTTTTTTTGTAAAATATTATTTGTAATATCTTGTTTTCCAATGATAATTTCACCGTATTAATTGAATGAAGTTATAATATAATAGGAAAGATACATCGATATCATCATTAAAATTAAACGATTTACTTTTGTTAAAGGTTGACCCATATCCTATTTGGCCAAGCAATTAGGGCTGGGCTCCTTATGAAGATTGTATTATCAAAGTATTTTTATAATGCATGAATAAACACCTTATAGAGGTTTTAAACTAAAATCATGCGAAAAGTTAATTTCAATATATAAAATGTAACATAAATATCAAGTAGTTGTTAAATCTTTATAGAAAATTGTGTTACAAGAAAACTATATCTCCCCAGGTATAATGCCGGATCGAACAAGTCCGATCGAATCGAGCAAGGCCCATCGGATAGACCAGTCCGATTCACCCCGGAGTCAAATTATAACCCAATTTTTAATTATTTGATTGCGTTTAAAAAAAAATTTTTGTAAAAGTTTAAACCTTACATTAAAAATTATTATTTAATTCAGAGTATATGTCTTATTTGGAATCCATGGGGGTTAAGAATATTTCGACTTTTAAATCCTTTACCGAGATCGCTTTAAATTTTTTTTTAAAAATCCGACATTTTATCAATACACATTAAATGTCATTTTATCGACATGCAAACCACAAAATGTCGTTACTGCTAACTCCTATGCATATACTTTTAAATACATTGAATGAATGAATCGCCAATCTGGTGCTATACAAAGATTAATAGGTATACTTCCATCATTATACATATTTTATCAAAATAATGAAAATAAATTAAATTTCTGATTCATAATGCATATACTTCCTAAAATAAACAAATTTCTGATGCACCTATCAGCAAATAAATGAGACTGATTTACTCGTCTCATTCTCGAAGGAATATCTGCTAGTAAATATAATAAACTAAATTATACAATATATTATTTATTAAGACTATTAAAAAAAAATTTAGGTAATAAAGTCCCTTTAAAAAAATACTATATTTTACTTTAAAGATTCCTTATTATCTTATTCATTGCAAATAGAAAGATTTGATTTGAAAGATTTACAGATTGAGAAAAATCTGTAATTTTTATTTATATAATAAAAAAAATAAATTTTTTTTTCCTTTAAATTAGGAGAAAGAAAAACTTAACCATTTTTTTCAAATATGGTTTCATATTTTTATATATTGATTTTAGAAGTTATCCTTTTTTAAAAAAAATATAATTAATCGGAGCGACTCAAGTTTTAAGCTGCCTTACTTGCTCGAGATCGCGTCTCTAAGAACAAATTTTGCCGCCACTAAAATGAGCCTACCAATATTAAATATAAATTTAGCATTTAGGTCGTGTCCCGGTAAACAGCTTTCAGCATGTAACATATGTTAATCTCGTTTTTTTGAGAACTTTTTAGGTTAGCCGAAATAACCTATTAAACAGTAGGCTGTTTCATAAATAAGTCCCAGAACCCACCATTAAAACTTATTCAGATGTTACTGACAATTGTATATGAATTCTGATTTCCGACTTATAGAAAATTTAAGTTCCTGTTCTTAGATTTGAATCGGTTCCTCACTAGAATAATCTTCATCAGTTATAATAAAATATGGAAAAATGTTTTTTTTTCTTCAAAAAAATAACGTTTTCCGAAAAATTTTGAGTTATGATCTTAATACTCCTAATCCTTCTCCCTAAATATAGTTATTTCATCAGTGATAAGCATGTGATCAATAGAAATAAATACGATTATAATTATTAATATATATATATATATAAGGGGAAACATTATCAATCTTTATTTTTTTCGTTGACGATTTTTTCTTCCGCTATTTGTTATCTCCTCCATACCTGCAACACATGGAATAATATTCATAGCATAAAAAAGCATGAAAAAAAAATTTTAAACCGTAAATTATGTAAAGAAAATATTTATTTTTTATCTGTATTTAATGCAATAAGATTACATTTAAATTTATCAATATATCTTCAACAAATAAGAATTATGATTATTTTATGTTGCAATTTTGTAACTACTTTATTTATAAATTTAACATATTTTTAAACTAAATAATTTTAAAATTTTTTTAAAATCTTTAAACATGTTATAAACCGTTCAATATCAGGCCGAATTCAAACTCGGACCGGATATTAGATCTGATACATTTCTAATTAAAACTTTAATCATATATATATTTTTTTAACAAGAAAATATTTATATCTATAAAAGGTAAATCCCCTCCCCTTATAAAGTTAATTAAATAACCTCCACAAATTGGCCACATTCAAGTTTTTTTTTTAAAAAAATTATTACAATTTTTTATAGAAAAAAAATTCTTTTCAAACATCATTTTAATTAATAAATTTTATTATTTAAAAAAAAAAAAATTAACAGTTTATTAACAGTTATTTATTAATTATTTATTTTTCTTTTGTTTGAAAAAGATTAAAAAATATAAAAATTATTAATCAAAAAATTCATAAATTTATTAAAAAATATAAATAGTAATAAAAAGTTTCTTCTTATTTATAAAAATATTAAAACTTTATATATACATTTTTTTAAAAAGATCTTAATCGAAAAAACCAAACCCACACCTGTCTTACCTTAAACCACCTTTATATTTTAGAAGTAAATAAATTGTTAAAAAAAATTAATAATATAAAAAAATTTTATCGCCAAACAATTGACATTTTTAATGTTGAATGTCGTTGTAAATATATTTTTAAAAATAACAGTTCTTTTTCGGGGATAGACGAATCAGGTTTTTGAGACCTATTTTTTCAAGGCTATTATTTTAAAATTCTTCATTTTTTTTACTGAGGAAGGATAGGTTTTTTTATGATATTGATAATATTTTTTTTTTGGAATTATTGTAGTATTATTTAAGTCGTTAATTTCTTTCCTTCTTACTCAAACACATTTATTGAATTAGAAAATTATGAGAGCCCTCCAATCAGACCAAAATTTAACTCGATTTGAAAAAATATTTCAAAAATTTTGTCACCAATCAATTCCGAGAATTTTCTTTGCAAAGATGATTTCAATCCGTATTTCCAAATTTTTATTTGGCTTGTTTAAAAATTACGATATTCAACTAGGGCAGAAAAAAATGGTTTTATTCTTGAAAATAATACTGGAAAAACCAATTAATTCAAAATTTTGTGCAGGACTATGTTCGGTCCGAAATAAAGTTTACTAAAGGTCCAAATATGACCGAGTCTGGGTTGATTCGGACCGGATTTGAAATATTTTTATTCACGTCATCGGGGGAACACCGAGTTCTTATAAGATCTTGGGTGGGTCAAGCTTGGGCAGGTATTTTCTCGTACTCTGTCGTCATATATGACTTTGAAATTTTAATTAGGACCGGAAATTTCGATTTTCTTCTTTATAAATGTTTATATTTTTTTTTAAATTTTCTCTCAGCGTTTATAATTTACCTACTTTTCATAAAATATTCAACTTTTGGAAATATCTAATATTTCGGTTCAGATAGGACCTATTCCTAAACTACAATTATTCAGATAGGGCTCGGCCTGAAAAAAAGAGATCAAATACAGGAACTTTAGATTATAAAGGAAATTCAAATTTATGAGCCTATAAATTTTGTTCACAAAATGATTCAGTTTGTGAATGAATAAACCGAAGCGCCTAAATATATTGTAAATCATATAAAAGTTTTACGAAGATAGAAAAAAAAAACATGCAATTTTATTTTGTAAGAAATTCTTGTTATAAAATAATGAGGCTAGATTGAGTCTATCAGAGGAACGACCACTGCCTTCGGGTCTAAGTATAAGATATATTTAACTTTTCTAAGTAAATTAAAAATATAATATTAGAGATATCTTTTAAGTAGTGATTATGAGTAATCGATATAAATGAAGGTAAGATAATGATAAATTAGAAATTTGTACGCGCAAGCGCAGTATACATGAATAAATATTCTATATTCTTGAAAAAAAGAACGTAAAATACAATATTTTTACTCGCAATAATTGGGAGCTCCGACTTTCTCGTTGATTATGCAATGTCCGTTATTCAGACAAACGTTGTTTTCGTCGCAGGTCACGTGGTACGCTGATATGAAAAAAAATAATAATTAAAAAATATCATCATTTTACATTTATTATTTTTACGATAATATAAATGTATGAATTATTATGTAGCGAAATTTTAAACGATTTATAACATTTAATTTATAAATAAAATTTGGAAGGGGTTTAAAGTTAAAATAAATGCAACGAACTCATAAAATAAGTATAATAATATATAAAAACTATTTTTTAAATTAAATTTACGGCTAATATTATATATAGGTAATTGCAGTATTCTTTCTTTTTTTAATTTATAGTAAATACCTGCAAAGCAATCATTTGAAATGAGGGTACAAAAATATTTTTTATGCCTATTTTTCGTGGTTTAGGATTTAACATGAGCATTATATGAACCTATCATAAATTCACACTACTTTTATGAAATTGATTCAGTTATAGCTGACCCAAAATCTTGTCGGGTCTCAGACTGCGGGCTGAACCTGAGATTTAAACCGAACCGTTACGGTAATCAACCGTGATCATTTATAGAACCTTAACCGACCCTCTAAAAAATTTTGCCATCACAATCTGGAGAGAATTTTAAAAAGGTAAGGGAACCGGCTTGAAACCCTTGTAATATCCTAACTCAGAACCTTAACCGACCCTCTAAAAAATTTTGCCATCACAATCTGGAGAGAATTTTAAAAAGGTAAGGGAACCGGCTTGAAACCCTTGTAATATCCTAACTCTTCCTATCACTAATAATCAGTTTAGATAAGTATCTAGCTGAGATATTATATGTATATTATTATAACGTTGCCAGCGCAATAATGTAAAGAAATGTTCTCAACCAGAGAATTTTCACCTTTCTTGAAAAATATTTTGGTTGTTTTATAGGGAATAGTGATATACATAATTCTAATAAGTTTGCAAGCCGAAAAAAGTTCAAACAGAGGGTGACGGCGACTTGTAAAATTTTTATGTGGGATGTATTTTTTTAAAGAAAATTTGATGTTTAAAATATTATTTGGTCAATATTATCTATTTAGAATGTTTTAATTTTTTTTTTACCATCCTAACCAGATCATTATCTTTATCTAAACCTAACCCTTAACCAAATCTATATTGTTTTTGATTGGATCCCAGGATCATCAATAAAATTATTGGGCCAGTTCGAAATAATTATTTAATCCTATATTTCGCACTCTTCCAATGGTTCGCAAAATATGGAACAAAAATCAGCTTGGTCTACAAAATCCAATAAATCACTTACGTTCATAAATTTACTAAGAAATCTTGAAAAAAATTTGCACTGCATTCACACCTTGTGCTACAAAATATGACATATATGATAATTTTACATTAATTTTTTTATATTTCACCGTCAATACTAACTGTGAATGTAGGTTTAGGTCACTACCTAACCGGGAGACTGAAAAAATGAACTTGACGTTGTAATTTCTTTTTAAAATTTTACCAAGAATCAAATTCCATGTAATTCTTACTTAAGAGTGAATTTCTTTTTAAAATTTTACCAAGAATCAAATTCCATGTAATTCTTACTTAAGAGTGGCAAATCTTTGCAAAAGGTAAACCATCTCGAAATATCGAGTTATGAGTGACCTGGAGCATTGAAAATTCGATTTGTTTTTGACCAGAGCTAAGTCTAAATTTTTTATAATTTATTTCAGCTTTTGGTGGTAAACTTTCAGGAACTCTTACTTCTGACCAATATTAACCGAATTTTTTTTCTTTTATGAATCAAAAATATACTTTTTGTCTTGATTTAGCGAATCACACTTTTGGTAAATTTAATTTAAAAAAAATATATATTCTTTTTTTTTACTATAAGTGCTCGCAGCTAAATCTAATTTAGACTTTCGTCTCTTGTCCTTTTGTGTGACTTAAAAATATATATTATTTATTGTTTTTTTTAAAGGAAAATAAAATATAATAATATCGATAATTTTATACCCTAATGCGCGCCCATCCATCTAAAAAAAAATAAAATTCAATTTTTTTTATAAAGAATTTTTTTGCACCTGTTTCTTATCTTATATTACCTTCTTTCATTTCCTTTCCTTATTTTTTTTTATATAAAGTAAAATATATTTTTTGGACACTTTTATTTTGTAACTTTGTTGTACGGCTGGCAGATTAACTTTAGTTATTACAAATAAAAAAAAATTAATATTAGAATAGAGGTTAGATGGCTCATACAAATGTTAAGATTGAGAGGATAGTTATAAAAAGGTTTAAAGTAAAATATTAGAAATATTTAGGGAAAAGAAAATCTTACCACTTAATCAGTGGACATTTTAAAAATAATATTTATGAAAAAAAATGATTATTAAGCCGTTAATTTTTTGGTTTTTAAAAATTTTGAAATCAGTTTTAAAACCTGAACAGGTATAAAAAAAAGGATTAAAAATATAAAATCTTTTACTTTGAACTCCGTTTAACAGGAAGAGGATATTATAAGAATAAGAAGCAATGATCCAAAATGAGAAACGAGATAATGTGCTGATCGAGATCTTCATCCAAATATTTACCGTTCTTCCTGGTAATTTTTAATTGAATTTAGTTTTTCGGATATCATATCTCTTTATATATATGTATAAAAACGTAATTTTTCAGATTCAAGTGTTCCATTCAATCTAATCTCTTCGATTTTTTCATTTAGAATATTAAATATTTCACATTTCTAGAGTATAATTATTATATCTTTTGAATTTCTAATGGAATAGCATGCTTTTAGTTATCTATTATAAAAGTCAATTTGAACTATGAATTGAAGTATCTTTTACGTATAATAGAAATTTAATATTTAATAGATTTTTTTTTAGAAAACTTCAATAAAAAGGATTTTTTTTCAAAAATAATTTTATAAATATTTATTAAGTATCCGTTAAATAAATATTAAAATATTTTATTTTTGATAATGGCACTTTATTAAATATGAGCAACAATGCGTATCAAAAAAAAATATTAAGGTAATAAAATATAATATTATTTATTTTAAATTTTTGCGGTCTTATAATTTACATCCAATAGGGAAATATAATTTTGCAACAATGTTATTTATAACAAAAATATAACATAATTATATTAATTTATTGTAATTTTGTGATTCAATATTATTATACAATAATAAGAAATTAATATAGTGTGTTATTAGGCTTAGAAAATATAATATCTAAGCATGTGCAATGAAAAAACTTATCTGGTCATTGCGATGTTTAAGACTCTAACCGATAGGTGTTAGGCCTCTGTTTTAACCATCATAATTAAGGTTGGTGTGAATTATGATTAATTTTTTTTATAATACATACATTACTACTTTTTATATTTGAGAAATAAAAAAAAAAGTATTAACTAAAATATACACCAATACTATATTTTTTTTTTTTATTAAAAAAAATAATTATAAATATAAAAGAAATAATTTTATTCAAATATAACGAACTTAAGAATGATACCCTTGAATTTATCATCAACCTGCGATAGAGAAAACCCCTTCATAACAGGGGAAATAGTTGCTGAAACATAAATTTTTTTGGCTAGCATGGAAAGATATTGAGTTTCTTTCCTTTCCAAAGATTAAGATCATCTATATCCATCGGATGACGTTTTCTTTAATAATTTGTAGTTGTCATTGAATTTACCTAACTTTGTTTAATCATTTATATTAAATTCTCTCGTTATCAATCTTTACATTTACTAATTGAATATATTCGTTCTTTAGAAGCATAAGATAAGATTTTCTATAATAAATTCAATAGGTGTACAATTTGGTTCTCTAATATTTTTATGCATTGTTCATTGTTAAATCGATAGTCTAAATATAGAAGCTAACACAAAGAGATATGAAACAAAAAATGGAATTTAAAATAGTACTTATATAATATCTTGTATATCGCTAACAGGAAATTTTAGAGCTAGTTTTTAAATATTTCTTAAATGAAAACCTTCAAGGCCATCATTATTATAACATCCTAATCAATCTACAAATAAATTGTTATTGAAAAAACTACCAGCTCATCTTCCATAAACTTACCAACTTTATTATTGTATCTAAAACAAAATGACCCTTTTTTTATTAAATCCCAAAAAATATTTTGACTTTACTACACACTAACTAAGATGACAAATTTTACATATTGAACCAGTGAGGCGCACTAGCTTTAAATCAAATTGTTGATTTTCTGTCAAACACACAAATCTTTATATCTGTTAATCCTTTAATATATTGATTATCCCAAAATTGCATAAACAAACAATAATATTATAAACTTAAAGATAATTACAATATATATTTTTTAACACATCTTATAACAAATCTCACGACATAATATAATTAAGAGTTATTTTAACTCATTTTATAACCATTTATAAATCCTTATATTACTTACCCATATATGAAAAATAAATATTTAAGAGACCTATAATTTCGATTGGAAGCAAACTCAAAGAACAAATTTATTACAAAGGAGAAAGTCATATGTTGTTGTTAGAGTGGAATAAAAAATCAAACCAGAACTATTAAAACCAAAATATTGCACAGAATGTAGATAAGTTGTACCACTATAACAAGAGTCAGATTCATTGGTCCAAAATAAATTTATTCATATAGCTTACATTTTCATGATAATAATTATAAATTCAGACTGTACCAAAGTTATCAACATTAAATATTAGTCAGAAAAAAATATCTTATTTTTTTAGTGATAAAAAAGATAATAATATTATGCAAATGTATAAAGAAAATCCCATAAAAAACCAATTAGTTCAGAGAAAATAAGCATGTTATGCTACACATCAACAGCTTTCTTAGCCTTCAATCTCATTACTGTATTACTCAAAGGGAATATATAGAAAGCCAACTGAATTTACAAGTGATGTATAATCTGGATTGTTCTAAACATTATTTAATCCTTTTATATATCATCTTTATAGACATATATTTAATTTTAAATTTAATATTGGATTTGTCACATCAAAAATTAACATGATAATGTGAAGATTAAAAATATCAGATAAAACACATACACAACATGAATATCATATTCTCAAATATGCCAGAAACTGACAAAAAATATGTTTTAGCATTAATTATTGAAAATAATATTTTATCCAATCGATAATTAGTTTTATACATTTCTCATTTTTAAATTTGTAAGATAAAATTTTAATCTGCTGTCTTATATATATTAATTAGTAATTATTTTATTTTACAAATTTTTTTGCATTTAAAGAAAAGTTATTTGGAGATGGAATAATCTTTTTTAAAATGGTAAAAATTAAATTTGGTATTTATCTATCTTAATTTTATAAGAACAAAAATAATTTAAAAAAAATGGTATTTTATATAATTACTGATGAACTATTTAATATCATTCCTAAATAAAATAAGACCGCCTTTATCAGAATGAATTTTTACTTCGAATCGTAATTGAATTTGATTTCAGTGTTTGTTAAATCAAGTACATTTATTCACGGATAATATTTTAGCACAGTTTGAGTTTATAAACACTAGAGATTAAGTTGTTGATTACGGTTATTAGCAATCCAATTATTATCAACTTTATTTGTTATTCCTATTTCAACCTGAAACATTAATAATTTTATTGGGTGGAGGTTTTGCTAAATTAATTTGAATAATGTATATAAAATATCTTAAGGCTGTGTCACTAGGAGGGGGGGGGGTGAAAGCGCAGGGGCTCGAGCCCCCTAAAAAATTTGAATAGCCCCCTTAAGCAAATTTTTTTTTAATGGCTCCTTAATATCCCTTTGTAATAAAAATAAATTTTTTTGATTGCCCCCTGAATGATTTCTTTTATAATTCCCATAGGTAATATATAGATTTAATTTTATTATTTAGAAATTAAAAAGACTATTTAAATTTTTATTAAATGAATACTATTTTGATTATTGGATTAGATTAATACATATAAATTATATTTTAACTATGTCAGCTTGCAATCAAATTCGGTATTAAAAATATATAATATCAATAACTCACTTAATATGAACTTTAACAGTTGAAGTTAAAATGACTTTTATTATTCAAATTATCCCCCCCCCCCCATCATTGATAATCTCTCTCATATAACAGGACTATCTCTTAACCTCCCCAAATGTGAGATATCTAAATCCCACTTCTATCCCTTCAGACATGGCATATCACGTCATCAATATGGACAAGATTACTCACCTTGGATCACCCTTAGGAGGTGATGCCATCGAGACATTTTAAAACAAATCCCTTAACAATTTATCCAAATTAAATACATTATTTAATTACCTCCCAACCCATCAATCTTTTTTTTTAATAAAAAATTATTTCAACATACCTAAAATCTTTACGCCTTGAGATCCTCTCCGATCTTTAAATGCAGTGACTTGCTTGTTTCTCACGAAACCCAAATTAAGGGTCTCCTTGAAAACATATTAAACCTTAAATTTTCCAATTCATCTTGGCTTCAGGCCACCCTTCCCAGCAAGTCTGGTGGTATTGGTATCCGATCCCCGATACAACTTTCCCTCTCAGCCTTTATCTCATCTCGTCTTGCTGCACATTCTATTATCGATAATGGATACACTCCTTCAGACACTGACCTCTCACAGGCCTCCACCTTCTGGGACAGCAACTGCTCACCCACCCTTTGCCGTTCGGCTTCCAGCATTCAGAAAGACTGGGATGCTCCTCTGATCGCCCGTTCCGTTGAATACCTTATTTCGAACAGGCCCTTTGAGGACAATCGCAATAATAGTATTATATGCAAGCTTAGGTTACGAATGGCTCGAAGCCATCCCCAGTTCCAATCTTGGCCTCCTCTTGACTGAAGAACAGCTACGCATTTCCATAGCCCTCCGCCTTGACTGTAACGCCGTAGTTCCCTCCATTTGCATCGACTGTGGCCATCCTATCGAATCGAAAGCTTACTATCCGTTGCACTGCTTGTTCTCCCATGGACGACAACCGCGTCATAGATCTATTAACGACATCCTCCTAGCTGCTCTTATAAAAGTTAATATTCCATTTTTTCTCGAACCAGTGGGCCTATCAAATGAAATAGCCATACGCCCCGATGTCATATCTCCCATTCCCTGGACTAATGGTCGTCTCCTCCTAGTTTAGGACTATACATGTGTCGATTTTGCTAAAAGTCCAACCTCTCATTTTCTGCCATCGAAAAGGCCGAAATCCTAAAAAAAACAAATATGCTTGCCTTACTAATACCGTGTTTATCCCAATCGTTATCAATACCCTTGGCATGTCCGGAAGTGATGCTCTAAATTTCATCAAAACTATAGGAAAAAAAATGAGGCAGATCTCAGGGGACCCCAATGAAGGATTCTACCTTCGCCAGAAGATTTCTCTGGAAATCAGTCGGTCCAATTTTTTAAGCATTTACTCTTTTCTAGGGTGATTTGTACCCTTTTTTTTAAAAAAAATTTTTTTTTTTTTTTATATCTCATTTCTCTTTTATACATACATATTTTTTAATTCATTTTTAATATATTATTAGTTTTTTTATATATTTTTTTTTAATTATGATTCGTAAATGAAAAATTTGTGAAATTCGTTAATTTTATATAATCATATAT